TGGGAATCCAGCGACATAGCCATTACGCTAACTGCTGGTCCCAAGACAAACTTTTTTTAAAATAAGAATTACAGGACCAGCATGTGGCATGGTGGTTAAGGTGGCTGCATCCCACATGACCACCTATGGAGTTCAAGTTCCAGACTTAGAGACACGTTGGGGGTGTGTGTGTGTGTGTGTGTGTGTGTGTGTGTCCAAAATCCAGAGAGGAGGGAAGGTGGAGGAGAAGGGATTGTGGCATGACCATCCCCCTGGGGGTGCTTTCTCACTTTCCCTCTTTCTCTGTCTCTCTCTGGTGAGTGCATGAGCCCTCTGGTAAAATTGAAAACAAACCAAAACAAGACAAAAATAGGATATGCTAGTTAAAACTGCAAATAGGATAGAAGTTAAGAAATATTATCCTTTCTATTTATTTAGTTATTTAAAAAGAGTGCCAGGTTTTTTAAAAACAATTATTTATTTTTAATTTTTATTTATTATCATTATTCTTCAATTTTGACCAGAGACAGAGAGAGAGGGAGAGTAAGAAAGCAAACCTCCAGCTCTGGGATTTGAACTGTGGTCAGCCATGTGGGAATCCAGTGCCTCAGCCACCATGCCTCCTGCTGGCCCCATGAGTGTAAGCTTTTGATCGTATTCAAGTCCTTGGTAATGAAGCCTACTGATAGCTGTTAGGATGCAGTGCCCTGCCCTACCTCATCATGCTGGTGTTTTCTCAGATAGTCCAGCTGGTTTCCCAAATCCGCTAACCCTTCAGCTAAAACCTATATATTGGGTTGTCGGGAAAGTGAGGAAGCATTTTTGCATAGAAAACATAGAAAAATGTGTCATGACTTTCCCGATGACCTAGTACTTTTTGCTTGCCTCTTACAGGGCTCTCCTTGGAAGTGACACCATACCCCAGTGCGGGTGGTGGGCACTGACGTCTGTTTAACAGATGGGTGTCTCTCAGCCTTACACTCACAGTAAAAGCTTTTTCTGACCATCCAGGCCTCAGGACAGAGTAGGACTGATGAAGTCAGCCTGCATGGCAGGCAGACTGAATTACTACAACATGACAGTGACCCAGCTCCTTCCTCCCACTTACCCTTTTTTTTTTTTTTTTATAGGTTTTTACTGTAGGGCACGTGTGCTCACCAGAAAGACAGAGAGAGACATAGAGACAGAAAGCGAGAAATCACCCCCCAGGGGGGATGGTCACGCCACAATCCCTTCTCCTCCATTCTCCTCTCAGGATCTTGGACACACATGCACACGTGCCCAGCATGAGTTTAAGCCACCGGGTCCAGGACTTGAACTGTGGTCTACTACATGGGAGTCCAACAACACAGCCATTACGCTAACTGCTGGTTTCCCTTTTTGGTATTTTTTTAAACAGGGATGAGAATGGAAAGAAGGAATTATTCCCCATGAAAGATCTCATCTCACGTTTCCGGGCCAATATCATTATCAATGGAACAAAGGCTTTTGAAGAAGAGAAATGGGACAAGATTTCAGTTGGTTTCTTGAGTTTTCAGGTGAGTTCTGAAAAGTTCTGTCATCTTCATCAAGGGTTAGTGATGAAGATAGACTCAAGCTCAGACCTGGCAGATGGGAGTTCCTCTCTTTGTCTCTGACCCACAAAATCTGGGTAAGAGGAGTTTTAAAAATTCAAACTGATAAGATTATAGAAAAAAAAGCTTAAAAATGGCAATGCTTTTAAAAAAGTGTTTTCCTTGTATTGGTGTTTGAACAGTATCTGGAAAACGTCTTTCCTTCTGGAGCTTGGGAACTATTTTAAGATGGTCCTTTCACCAAAGTGAGAGAATTTTTACTTATGTTGTCACTTGTTGCATAGAGACTGGGCCTGGGGGTAGTTGGTCCTACTGAGTCCTGGCGTCCCTTCTTCAGAAGTCAAGGAATTGGTCATTTTCTTGTTGGAGAAGGCAAGGGGTTTGTAACAGAACCATGCTGGCTTCTCGAGGGTATAGCCTTGTGATCTGATAGAAGCTTTGTTCTAGTCCAAGGATCCTCAAGTATAATAAAGATAGTTTCCACTTTTGAGCACAACTGAGTGACAGGCTTGGGCTTGGCATTTCTGGGAATAGTGTCTGGACTCTTCATCCAATTTAGCTAAGGGCTACATGAGGAAATGAGGCCCGGGGAGGCCACAGGTCTGCCGAGCATCACCGCAAGTACCAGGCAGATCTTCGCCGCCAGCAGCAGCTGCTGGTTGTCCTCCCACTCCCTGA